ACAATTTCAGAAATATTGGGATCAAAGAAGATTTTAAATAACAAACCAACACTCCTTTCCAATAACGCTGGTCAGCTTTCAGCCTCTGATTCTGCTATTGAGTTCAATAGGTTCTTCTCTTCCATTGGGTCATCCCTTGCAAATGATATTCCATCTTCCTGTACTGATGTTAAGGACTATCTTACAGGTAACTATCCAGTCGCTGTACCTAAAGCCTACTAGTTCCACTGATGTCAATGAAATAATCCTTTCCCTTAAAACCAAGTCTAGTGCCCTCAAGGAGATACCAACTTTAATTTACAAAAAAGCCTCCAGATCTCTAGCCCCTGCTATTGCATTGCTCATCAACAAGTCACTTGAACTCCAAACCTTTCCTGACATTCTAAAAAAAGCAAGAGTAACCCCTGTCCACAAATGTGGTGATCTCACAGATGTTAACAACTACAGACCTATATCAATCCTGCCTAACTTGTCAAAAATATTCAAAAAACTAATCTACAAGCAGCTTTACTCTTTTCTAGCCAAACACAATATACTTAGCTCTTGTCAATATGGCTTCAGACCCAAAAAAAGCACTAACGATGCACTTATTAGTATGATTAACTTAATTCACGCAGCTCTTGATAAAAAGGAGTTTCCTGTTGGGTTATTTGTGGACCTGCGTAAGGCTTTTGACACTGTCAACCATCAAAACCTTCTTCTTAAATTACATCATTATGGAGTCAGAGGACACTCCCTGCAATACCTCAAATCTTATCTTACTGACAGGCTCCAGTATGTTTCTGTGAATAATACAATTTCTCCCACCCTACTCATCAACATTGGTGTTCCTCAGGGCAGCATACTTGGCCCTCTCCTCTTTCTCATCTACATTAATGACCTTCCAAATGCCTCCCAACACCTGAAACCAATTCTATTTGCTGACGACACAACCTTCATTTACTCCAGTCCTGACCCCCTTGCTCTAAATGCCACAGTAAATACTGAGCTAGAGAAAGTCCATCTTTGGCTAACCGCCAACAAACTCACCCTTAACATTGACAAAACGTTTTATATTCTGTTTGGCAATAAATCCTCTAATCAGATAAATCTCAAAATAAACAATACCCAAATTTGTAACAAATTAGATGGCAAATTCCTTGGCGTTCTCATCGACCACAAGCTGAATTTCCAGGGTCACATTCTAAATATATCAAAAAAAGTTTCAAAAACTATTGGCATTCTTTCTAAGATCAGATATTATGTACCCCGCCCGGCCCTGGTTACTCTCTATTACTCCCTCATCTATCCATAACTCAACTATGGTATTTGTGCTTGGGGTTCTACTACCCAAAATCATTTACGTCCTCTCATTACCCAACACAAAGCTGCTATTAGGACAATATCCAACTCTGGCCCCAGACATCACTCGGTACCCTTACTCAAATCTCTGAATATGTTAGATATTAAGTCACTGCACATTCTCTCTTGTGTATTATACATATATAAAATGCTGAACTGTAATGCCAATCCTGACCTCAAAAGCTTCATTGAAGGTTGTAACAGAACCCATGAGCACCACACCAGAAATAAATACAGTTTTGATATTCCTAGAGTACGACTTAATCAAACTAGAAATGCTCTACAAATCAAGGGGCCCAGAATGTGGAATGACCTTCCCAACCATGTTAAAGACTGTACCTCTCTCAACCAGTTTAAGATAAAAACGAAGCACTACCTAATAAATTCCCTGTAACCTACCTCACTCCTCTATTGTCAACCCATGTCTGTAAATTTTTTTTTTTTTTTTTTTAATCAATACTGTTTGTTAACCTATTGTATTTGTGCTGATTTTTCAGTCATGTTCCCCTTTTTTTTTTTTTTTATCTTTATTTGTATTTGTTTTCAACACTTTTTATTCTTTATGCTCAATTAGTATTAAGTTCTAGATATTAATGTTTTTCTTGCCCGAAACGCATTGCGTAATAGTGGCTTTAGGCATTGTATGTACTAGCTCTATCTATATAACAATCCATTAATGTAACATCACTTGTATGTATGTACCTTACCTGAATAAACATATTTATTTATTTATTTATTTATTTAAATGTTAAACTGTGAAGCTGTTGCAGTGGTCGCCTTTCTGTAGGACTGATAAAGGTGGGGTTACCTATACCACTTCGTTTTCCCCCCCTCAGTCCATCTGTTGCTTTGGGTTCTATGGCTCTTTGGAGTCTTACTGTGGAGAGTCGCCCTTGTGGTCCCTTGGGGGCCGGCCCAGCTTTGATTTCAGGTGCTGCTTGTTCGGTGTCCGAATACGGGGTGCTTTCTGCGGTTCTACCTCTTTCAGCAGATGAGACCGGTACATAGCTGGTTCGCTCTACTCCTCCGCTCTTTGAGTCTGGTCTTCTCGACACGAGTATAGCACCACTTGTTTGGTGATCAGGTGGCTTCTTTGATGGTGTGTCTCACCTGCGAGCTTCGTCTTGGCGACAGTATGAAGTTTCCTGGCATTTTTTTGGCCTTTTTCTCTCTCCGTAGGTTGTCTTCAGTTTTCGATTGGGTTGTTTTGTCCTTTCTTGGCCTTTTCAGGACTGTCATTTGATACTTAATATTGTCGCCTCTTATCGTGCAACGCTAACTGAGCTTCTCCAGGTCGTCCACAGGAATGGAATAAACCCCAGGTCGTCTGCAGGGTTATTAAATTTAGGCAGACAGCACTGTACCCTCGTGCCCATGACGTTCGTAAGTGTGCTGCTTTTGCTGTCGTGTTCGGCAACATATCTTGGGCTGACATTCGGGCACGGGGGTTTTAGAGGTCGAACAGGGTCGTGGCTGTCCGTTATTTGGTCAATATTCCTGGTCCCAGTCGTTCATGTGTGGCTTTGGGGTGCAGGCTGCAGCCAGTTGTCTTGCCTTTCAAGTTGATGTTTGCATGGTATCCGCTCCTCAGGTAACTCTCTTTTACTTGTCTTTGGTTAGGTAGCTCCAGGGAGTTGGAGGGGCTCCCCACAGAAAACCAGCATTGAATGTAATGAAATGCCATTTTCTGGGTGAGCCCCCGAGGCTCCCTTCTTCTTTGCAATACATGCAGTTTGCATGAAGGTATATCCTCCCGATGACTACACTAGTGGTAATGTAGAAAGATGTGTATATAACAATGCACAACAACACATCAACAGTCATGACGTGCCAGAGTCAAAAGAGAACGATGCCGTCAAGGCAGGTGAGGATAAGTGGGGAAAATAAACAAGAGGAAAGGAACGTAGGATGGGAAGAAAGAATACAGAAGGCGAACGCAAAGCGTCGCCACAGTAAAGAAAGTGAGGGATGGAGGCAAGAAACGATGGGTGAGGGCAAAGGATGTGAAGGAGGCAAGTGCGAATGTGCTTACCTAATTGCCTAATTGTAGTTGCCTAATTGTGCTTGCGGGGGTTGAGCTCTGGCTCTTTGATCCCGTCTCAACTGTCAATCAAACTAATGTACAGGTTCCTGAGCCTACTGGGCTCTATCATATCTACACTTGAAGCTGTGTATGGAGTCAGCCTGCACCACATCACTTCCAAATGCATTCCATTTGTCTACTACTGACACTGAAAAAATTCTTTCTAATGTCTTTATGGCTCATTTGGGCACTTAATTTCCACCTGTGTAAAAGTGTAGAGGAAGTCAAAACGGGACAGGCAAGGTACGTAGATGGCATCCGGAGCCTCACGACTGGGACGCTAACGCATCGGACTCAGCAGAAGCGCCAGCAGGACAACGTGAGAAAGACCTAGGAAGGGTGCAAGGACAAGTCACGGGAGAACGCAATGTAAGAGGCCCATCAGGCAAGGTGGCAGGGCGCTTGGAAATTGGGACGACAGAGGATTGCTTCCACTTAGTACTGGGGGCAGAGATGTGCGGCAAGGGAGCCTGGGGGAGAGACACAGGGAAGGCTCGCCAAAGAGTTCCAAAGGACGTTGTCCAGTATCGATTCAAACGCATTGGAGATAGCAGAGGCAAATGCGGAAGAATAGACGTCAACTGTAGAAGAAGCAGAGGAGAGGAGAGACGGGTCAGCCTCAGGAATGGGAAGGACGGACTGCGGAAAGAATTAGTGACGAGGCGGACCAGCACCGTCTCGAGTGCATCCACAATGTGAGTGACAATAGCGTCAACAAGATCAAGACTCGGTGGAATGGCAGGCAAGAGAAGAAGCCTCAGAGACTACTTGCCACCCTCCCTCTGGTCGACTGTTTTCGTTTTTGATGCTCAGGCTCTGAACCAAGGTGTGAGTAGTAAGCATGGGGGAGGGGGTCTTGGTCTCCCCCCTCCTGGGCACGGGAGGGCTGCATGGACAAGTGTTGCAGCAGTGGTGTATGACATTTGCTTGTTTACTTGTTTCTTTAGGTTTTGGGAAGTTCTGCATGCCTCTCTGTTCGGTCTTCGGTAGAAATTTCTTACCAAGTGGGGTCTGTTTTGTTATGCCTACCTTTCTGGGTGCCAAACCCCGGTCGATGGCAGACATGGAATGCTCCCAAACACATGGAAGTTTCCATAGGCTAATGTTCCCCCTGCCTCTGAGGGAGGCCAGGTTCTGGCTTGTGGTCCCCGGTAGGCTGAACTTCTTTGACTGATACCCCAGACTAATATAGTGTATATATAAGTCTGATAGCTCCGAGGAGCCTCCAGGGCTCACACAGGAAAAAGCGTTTCATTACATTCAACGCTGGTTTTTTGGGGGGGAGGGGGAGATCATATGGGTGAGTGGAGACTGGGAGGGTGTGTGGTGGGATATGGGTAGTATGTGCTTAGGGGGATACTGGGAGGGTATGTGTGAGAAGGGTGTGAAGATGTGTACAGTGGTGGGGGAAATCGGGAAGGTGCATGTGGTGGGGGGGAAGGGGAGAAGACCTGTTATATAGGATGTTTGGTAGAGGCATAGGCACGGGGTTGACCCAGGTACTGCTGGGTAACCCATCTAGAATTATATATATAGTGGACTCATAATTCTTTTTTTTTCATGCTTGCATTGGCAGACCCAGGGTGGTTGAACCGATCCATGGGTGTGGGTGTTGGAAGTGTTGGTGTACGGGTGTCAGGAGTGGCCACGTGTGACCCGTCTCCCTGCCTTAATGGTGGTCGCTGCATCACTGAGGGAACCAATCATTCCTGTCTGTGCACCAATGGCTACACTGGTGCCTTCTGTCAGGTGAGGGGTCAGTCTGTGCTCTGCTAGATTGCTATGCTTCATAGAGGTTTGATTGTTGGCTACCCTTGTTGGCCACATTAGCTCTCTTTTTAACTGGGTTTTTAGATCATATTTAAAAAAAAAGTGTGAAATCCAGTAATAATAATAATATTGAAATTCTAAAATATGTGATTTTGCTTTTTGTATCTTAATTAAAAGATTTTCAGTTACAATCTATTTACAGACTATACACTGTCACACACTATATACATTCACCATCAACACATTCAGAACACTGTGAGTGTGAGCAGCCACACCCAGCCAGTCTCCCTCACTCCATCATCTTACTTGCCAACATTGCTCCTCCCACCATACTGTTATTGTATTTATTACACAATTTACACATGTTATATATACCTATCTACATGTTTTATTTACCATAACTATGCAAGTAAGCCGGTATTGTGTCCAAACAGTACAGTGGCCACCATACACTGCATGACAAATCATACAGCAGACAGCAGACGATGCCACGATTACGACGTCACCGCCCTCACCAAAATACCACATGTGTGTTCCCCATAGCGAGCCACGAAGCTAGTACGGTGAGCAAAACAAGAGTTACTGCCATGCAGTGAGGCTACCTCAATTCTCTTCCTTCCTCCCTCCCTCACCAAAATTTCTCCTTCCTCCGCACAACGCTCATTATAACCACAATCTTGGTCACTAATACCTGTGAATGAATAATTGACCACAAGTTTATTTTGAAAAGGAACCTAAAAAGTCGTTTGAAGATTCCTAGATGGAGGAAATAATGCTGTGGTGCTGTGGCTAACGCTGTGAACATCGTGAACAGCATTGAATCACTGATATTTGAACATTGTACCCAGTCATTATCACACTCGGGCTCTTCTATAATACCATCATGGCTAAATAAAACAGATTATATATATATTTTGACAATATTAGGCAATGCTGTGGTCACACGCTGAACAGCAGTGCTGTGCGCTCATGCTGCGAGCGCCAGCCTTGGTTGCTCACTCACTACTGAGGCTCTGACACCCGGCAATGTGGACCATGATTTTTTTTTAAGATGGCGTCTGTTTACAAGACCCCTAAGGAAGCTGATGTGAACCCCATGTAGCCGCGGGAGTTTTGAATGGAACGTGAAAAATAAAAACACCCGGGGGCGCGTTGCGCACCCTAAGCCTGGGCCTGCAGGCGTGTTGCGCAGCTAAAGGGTTAAGTTGCGCATTGCATCATATGATGCTTTGGAGTACTACGCAAGATTTAAACGGCACTTGGATACACGGAGTTCACCACACCTTTATCAGGGTTCTTGTAAACAGACGCCATTTTTTTTTTTAAATCGTGGGCCAAATTCCCGGGTGTTAGGGGCCTCAGTATTGAGTGAGCAACCAAGCCTGACGCACACAGCATGAGCTCTCAGCACTGCTGTTCAGGTTGTGACCACAGCATCGCCTAAAAATGCCATAATATACTTGTTCATGCTATTATGTAGCGATGATATTAATACAGAAGACCCCTGACTGTGATAAAACTGACCAGGGTTCTGATAATAGCAGGATTGTGGTGATATTTAGCGCTGTGCTCCATGGAGGGAGGGTGGTGGCATTGTCTTCTGACTGTGTGTGGCCACCTTTTATTGACCGCACTCACCATACCAGCTTAGTGGTTCACTATGGTGAACACAAATGTAGATACTTATATATAACGTGTGTATAGAGGGTATAAACAACAATAGGAGTAGGTTGGAAGCCGCCATTTTGGTGAGGGAGGTGGCGTCGTCTGCACAACTTGTCATGTTGTTTACTGGTGACCACTATGATCTTTGGGCACCATACCAGTTTACTTGTACAAGTATGGTGAATAAAACAGGTAGATACTTATGTATAATGTGTGTATATAGCATAATAACACCACAAACAATATTGTTGGAGGAGAAATATTAGTGCGTCTGTCCTTGAAGGCGGCCGCCACCAGCTGACTGTGTGAGTAGCTACGTCTTTGTGCCTTTACTCACCATACAAGCTTAGATGCACAGTTATGGTGAACAAAACATGTAAATACTTATATATAATGTCTGTATATAAAAGCAAAAACAGTATGGTGGAAGGAGAATGGTGGCAAGTCAGGTGAGGTGAGGGAGAGAGGGAGTGGCAGCCAGTGCCGGGCTGCCATTGCCAATCTGCATACCAACTTAGGGGTTCGTTATGGTGAACACGAATGTAGATACTTATATATAGCGTCTGTATATAGTGAATAAAAGCAAAAACAGTATTGTGGAAGGAGAATGTGGGCGAGTCAGGTGACTTGAGCGACGGAGGAAGTGGCAGCCACTGGCACTGCCACTCAGCATGCCAACTTAGTGGTTTGTTAAGGTGAACACGAATGTAGATACTTATATATAACGTCTGTATATAGTGAATAAAAGCAAAAACTGTGTGACGCTCAAATCCCTGCTCCCGAAATGAGCCCTAGACGTCACCAACACAGCGGCAAAAGCTGCAAACGTCCGAACAGCATGGGCTCAATGACAGACCACAGGCTGGAAAACTGAAAAACTCTGCGGACGACCTGGGAGACCCGAGCCCTGAAACAGGGAACGAGAGGCACCGGATCAACCTCAAGCGCATCCCCAGACACGGTATACAGGAAACGGCAAAAAGCGCAACCGGATAACACAGGACGCACACCTGGTCAAACCAATCAAGCACCCAAGAACCCCTCCGGAAAGCAGCTGTCTCAACTATAGCCAGGACGGAGAAAGGCTGCAAACGTACAAAGCTACCACCAGAACCAAAGAGCAGAAACCTGAACCGAAGGGGCTACCACAAACTGAGGAGAAGATAAGAAGGCACCCTGATCAAGGACAAGGACGGCTCAGGCGACGCATGAGCAGGCCAGAGGTGAAACAAAACACGAGAAAGCGTACGAAACGAGGCAGACGTGACATCCACCCCGAACGCAAGCCGGAGCAGCTCTGCCAGCGCCGCACAAAATGAGGCGACAGTAAGAAACATCAATATACTATAGTCCAGAAAATCCAAGAGAGGACAAGACAACCCGATGCGAAAGAGAAGACAACCTACGAAGAGCAAGAAAAAGTGCATAGAAACACCAGGAACGTCATACTGTCGCCGAGACGAAGCTCGCAGGTGGGACACCGACGACAAAACCACCTGATCATCACAGAGATGGTGATACCCACATCAAAAAACCAGACGCGAAGAGCCGAGGAGAAGGCCGAACCAGTCACGTACAGGACTGATCCGACCTGCCAAAACAAGCGGAGCTGCGGGAAAATGCCCCGGGTTCAGACACCTATGAAGCAGCGTCTGAAAATAAAGCTGGGCCGGCCACCAAAGAGCCATAAGGACTACTCCCATGGGAATGGGCTGCAACCGATCCAGAACCCGAAGCAACAGCTGGACCGGGAGAAGAGGAACAGGTACCCCCCACCTCGACCAGTCCTGCCGAAAGGCATCCACCGTGAATGCCTCGCAGACAGGTAAGGGCGCCACATAGAATGGGCGACGCCTAGACCACGCCGACGCGAAGGTGTTCATGGCCAGGAGTTCATATGTTCGGCAGAGCCAACAAAATGAGTCGGCTACAACTGGCCAATCTGCGAACAGAGGAATGAACCGAGACAGGCTGTCCGAAAGGCCGTAGGACACACCCTGGACATGAACCTCACAGTTAGCCAAACCTCGAAATTCCAGCAAATGAGCCACTCAAAGGGACCAACCCCAAAGGTCAAACACCTAAGAGAAACCCTGTGGTTCCGGCAAAGAACCGCCAGAGAACAGTCCGAATGGAGCTGGTTGGTAAAGCACCGAGTAACCTGAACCCTCTGAAGCGCAAACCAGACAGCCACGAACTCCCGAACTGTGCTGTGAGCCCAACGGACGGACTCGGGGAGGTGCTAAGGCACAGAACCCCAAAAACCCCAAAGAGGAAGCTGGTGACGTAGCACCAACACAAGATCCCCAGAGGACGAACCCAACGATTGCAAGAGAGGTGGAAGGGGAGTCTCTGAAGGAACCAAACAGACACCGAAGCCAAACCCCACCCTGTGGGCAGACCAGCACGTTGAAGTTCAGACTACTGCACAACCTCTCGAGCAACCGCTGAGCAACCCGGTACCCCCTCATGAACAGCTGAAAGCAGGACCACAGCCGCAGCAACACTTCTGGAGGGAAATAAAAGTACCAGCCCAAGAGCCCTAAACAAGACCCAGCCAGGTCCGAACCCGGGACAGAAACAGATGAAACGGCCTCCAGATCACCAGGAAACCGAACCCGGTGATCTGGAAAGAACCACACCCCTGGCGAGCAGACAAGTGGACCGACTGGGAGCCCACACCAGCCAGTTGTTGAGGTAGGCCAGACACCGAATCCCAAGCAGATTCAGACAGGGCACCAAGATCTGGTAAAGATGCGTAAATACACCAAGTGCCAAATACAAACTAGGGAAGGCAACAAAAGCGGCAAGCCTGTTGTTTCTCGCATCTTTGTATCGCTGGTATGTTTGGGGGTTTGGCCTCTTCCTGTATTGATTCCATTTTTGTGTCTTTTGGTCTCTAGCCCCCTCGCAATTTCTATTGAACCAATCCTGTTTCCTAGTTCTGCATCTCTGTTTTGGTATAAATTTTTTTGTGCCTTTATCATACATTTCACAAAACTTGACATACAAGTTTCCAAAGGATACCTGATCAACCAGGCTGTGACTCATACGTCAGGCTGCGAGCAGCCGCGTCCAACAGCCTGGTTGATCAGTCCGGCAACCAGGAGGCCTGGTCGACGACCGGGCCGCGGGGACACTAAGCCCCGGAAGCACCTCAAGGTAACCTCAAGGTAAGGTACATCTCATTCACTTCCTTGCCTAGCATCAAGTCTGTCCAATTATACTCACTAAAAAAATTTCTAAGGTCACCATAATGACCTCTCCTGAAGTCTGGTTTTTCAACTGCTTCAACCTCCTTATTTTTTTCCAGC